GCAATTGGATTTCTTGTTCAATGACCTTTCCGTCTAGCTGGCGTACTTTAGCCTTAAGAGAATAAGGACCAACAAGATCTACACACAACGTGTCCCATGGCAGTAAATCTTCCGGTTCTTTAGGCGGCACATGTCCATATTTATTGTTTCGTTTCTTGAACTTTTGACAAGTGTCACACTTTTTGCATAGTCGTCTAGACTGTGCGGTTATCCCATTCCAAGTAGCTATTCTTTGAATAGTGTTGGCCAATCTGTCTCCTCCCGGATGACGTAGGTAATAGTGATACCAAGTGAGTACTCGTTCACGGAGATTTGAGGGTACATAAATCTTTCCGTGGAAATGAAGAAGTTGTCTCTTCTCAACCTCTTTGTATTCGTAGTTAGGATCCTTCTTCGCTAGGGCTGTTTTAAGAGCGAGAGATTCCTTACTAGAACCTTGCAACAGTTTCTTCTGTTCCTCCTCCACGATTTGTGGCGCAAGTGGGAAGACAATTTCATCGGAATCGACGCTTACGAAGCAATCTGCTGATTCGGTGGTGACGTAGAAATCGTTAACTTGCATGAGGGCACAGAGCTCATGGTAGTAATCTTCACGTGTTTTACGTGGAGCTTCCGAGTCCATTGGTACTTCTGTAAGTGCGTACACAACTCGTCTACCCTGTTGCATTTGTGGTGACAATACCTGGAGCCTCTCTTCTTTCGACATGTCCTCGTAATCTTTTTGATCAGCTCGAGGAAGACGAGATAAGGCATCAGCAACTGTGTTGTCTTCTCCAGGAATGTATATGATATTGATTCCAAATTCTTGAACAAGTGACTCCCATCTTTTTCGCCTTTGTGAACTATTGTCATCGGTAGCAAAGGTGAGATTCTTGTGATCGGTATATACATCGATCTCATATCCAAGTAAAATATTTCGAAACTCATTAAGTGTCTCTACGATACTAAGCAACTCTTTTTCAGTTGTAGTGTAATTCTTTTGAGCACTGTTTAGTTTACGAGTGTAGAAAGCTAGTGGACGAAGAACTCCTTGATCGTCTTCTTGCATGATAGCTGCTCCAAGTTGATAATCACTCGCGTCCGAATGGATAATAAACTTTTTGCTGAAATCGGGGTATGCTAGAAGAGTCTCCTCCGCAATGATCTTTTTGATTTCATTAAACGCAGTTTCGTGTTCTTCAGTCCAATTGACTTTGGCATTTTTGCCCTTTCCCGCAGTCAATTCAGTAAGTGGAGTCAGAATATGAGACCTGTTAGGCCATACATCTCTGTAATACTGCACCATACCGACAAAGTGGCGGACTTCACTGGTCGTAGTTGGACGTTGGATGTCTAAAATCGCCTGTACTTTCTTTGGGTTTGGCTTGATTCCATCACGCGTGATGATGTAACCAAGGTATTCGATTTCATCTTGGCAGAAGAAGCATTTTCCGAACTTACATTTGAGTCCAGCGTTCTCAAGTAGGACGAAAACTTTTTCCAGCTCCTCCAGATGCTTCTCGTATGAACCATGGGTGATTACCAAGAGATCATCAATGTAGCAACGTACTGACTCCAATTCATTGAAAAGATTGTTCATCTTTTCTTGGAATACGTCAGGTGCTATGCACACTCCCATCGGTAGTCGATTGTAGGAGTACTTGCCCCAAGGTGTTGTGATTGTGCAGATTTCCTTTGCGTCTTCAGATAGTGTAATGTTGTAAAAGCCCATTACTAAGTCTAAAGATGTAGCATATTGGAAATTGCTGACTTTCAACAGCATGTCTCTGATATGTGGGATTGGGTATGGATTTCGTTTAATCATTGAATTTAGTTTACGAAAATCTGTTACAAAACGAACTGTACCATCTTTCTTTGGGACGATGAAGCTAGGTGCTCCCCATTCAGAAGTATTCTTTTTGGTAAGAACTCCGATTGAGACCAAGCGATCAAGATCCTTTTTGAAAGTTGCTTCATGAATATGTGGTACTTTCATAGGTGGACGATAGTAAGGTTTAGATCCTTCTTTTAGTTTAATATCTATTGGATCGCCTTTCCATTCACCTAAGGTGCCATCAAAAAGCATTTCATGACGTTTGAGTAGAGCTTTCAAAAGTGTTTTCTGAAAGTCGGACAGATAGTCCATCTGTTCTACCTCTTTGTCAATGTCTGGTGTTTCGTATGATGCATCGAGAATCTTCATAAGACGATCTCCGGCCTTTTTTACCGCTTCGCTCTCTCCTGCATCCTGATAGATTGAGTTCAAATCAATGTCCATCTCAGTGATAGCAGTCTTTGTTGAGTGCATCGGAAGGCGAAGTCCGTCCCAGTGGACTTCATTCTCTGAAAACAGAATATCCATTTTCAATTCGTGCATTAGGTCGCGACCTATGATCAAGTCATAAGGAAGATCGCATGCATCCGGAAGCAAACGAATTCCTCTTCGACAAATAACCCTAGATTCGGAGAATTCCGACAACACGAAGTCAAGCTGTACCGCTTTGTCGCTTGAAAACCTGCCATTGGCAGTTGAAAAACTGGATCTGGAAACTTTGGAAACTTTACCAAAGGTGCTAAGGGTTGCTTTACCTACGGTAGAGCCAGCGCCTGTATCTAGTAAGGCCAGTAAAGGCTTGCTAAAAGTTCCATCTTTTTTCCTAATTTTTAGTATTGTGACCGGTTTCGTCTCTTGCGAATCCAATGTTATCAAGTCGATGCTGTCATTCACATTGGTTACGTAATCAAGAGAGGAAAAGTCAGTTGAAGGTACGAGTTTAAAGTCAGAAGAAGAAGTGGGTGTATAATTTTCGTTACTATTTCTCTGCAAGCGTTGAAGAGGATTCTTCTCTTTTTTGCATTCGGGATCCTGTTATCCTTGTCCAACTGGTTGCATTGACCGAGAGGAAAGGCACGAAGGACGATTTCCATCATGTACAGTTTCTCAATGAACTTGTCGACATGAATACCGGAGTCTTTGATGTCTAAATCGCTCTCCATGTATGAGAGTTGATTAATGACTGCTTCTTCGATGCCGCCATAATCCTTGAAGACTTGACCGTGCATGATATTCATGACTTTCTTGAAAAACTCAGCATAATAGAGCCAGCCGTACTGATGCTCTCTGAGGTGAGCGATAGGGTTAGTACCTGTAATCACTCCTACCTCAATGTTGAATAATTCACTAGTGCTACGGTAAGGAGAAAAAGGTTCAAATTGTGAAGGTTTATCTTTAAGGGGTTCTAATTTAACGTTGGGGAAGTACTCCATACGCTTCTTAGCCTTATCGATAATGTTCTCCATCCATTGAAGATGATCCTTTTCTTCTTTGGTGCTGAGGGTGCCATCTTTCAGAGCTTTCTCCTTCGCTTGTAGCGAGGCTGCTGCTTTCTTGATGTCGGCATTATCCCAAGCCCGAAGCATTAGGTTGAAGTGTTTTAACTCTTTCTTTTCAAGCTCCAACAAGGCAGTCTCACACGCTCTACTGAGCATATCGGCAGCTCTATCTCTTGAGATAAAGAGCATGCATTCGATAAACTCGAGCGGGTTGGGATGCTGCTTGGCTTTGAGCAGATGCGAGTATGTATGGTTGAATGTCTGGCACCATTGATCAGGTTGGTTAAGGTAGTCCGTAGCCACATCCACATACTGTTTGCCAATGTTGAGTAAACTCTTGGCTTTGGTAGGGGTGGAACCAGTCTCAAAGATTGGACATGGTAGGCTTGCTTGGATCCCATCCTTAGTGCAACCAGCAAGTGCCAGATGGCAGTTGCCAAAAACAATAGCCCGGTTCTTGTACGTAATGGTTGGCTTTTCACAGAGGTATTTGTTGCCTCTAGCCGTACCCTTACTCAAGGCGGTGCCTTTCGTCTTCGGATCTCTCCACTGTCTCGACATCTAGAAAGAAGGAGTTACAGAAGAAAGCTGCCTTTGCTATATGTATCTTTTAGTGTCTCGGGAACTCGAATAGATAAGAGTATCTATGAGTTCAGGCTTATAAATTTATAGTGCCACAACCACGTAGTCTAGAGAGCTAAGTAGAAGTTATTATGATTAGTTCTATACTAGATGTAACGACGGTTGTTGCACATGTGTATTCAGCGATGCGTTGGATAGTGTTCTTGTTGAAGAAGGTATCCTCCGATAGGCCATTCCGTGACGTCACAGTCCTATAACGGTTCTGCTAACGGTCACGGTTGTGGCAGAGTGGTCCGGTGAAGTCTCGAGATTGTGGCAATCTCCTTTATTGGAGTTTGACTGCGAGAACTTGCCTAAACCTTATCACTTAGAGGAAGGTGAAGTCGTAACAAGGTTTCCGTAGGTGAACCTGCGGAAGGATCATTAACACACCGATCTAAGATCTCAACTCCCGTGAAGAATCAGTCTAGGGCTGGTATCCAACGCTATCATGCTTGGCCCAGTTTCTTGTGCTGAGCTAGACAGGCTGCTTCGGCGGCATGCCTAGATTTCTACATAACAACCCGTAGCGCAAGCTACACCCATACCTAATATGAAAACAGAACCAGAATCCAAAGTGAGTGATGAAGCCCTGCTAAGGCTTGCCTCTGCAGCGGCATCTCCTCATGAAGTATATGAATGTCAAACAACTTTCAACGATGGATGTCTTGGGTCACGCAACGATGAAGAACGCAGCGAAATGCGATACGTAATGTGAATTGCAAAACTCCGTGATCATCAAAATTTTGAACGCACATTGCGCTTCTAGGATTTGCCTAGGAGCATGCCTGTTTGAGTGTTCGTGAACCCCACTAGGCCACAGTCTTGTGAGCCTGAATGTGGCTGTGTGCTGAGCTGCCTCGTGCAGTACAGCAGATAGCTTAAGTGAGCGGTTGTTCTTTGAACGACGCCTTGCGTTTCTACGCAGCGTGTCTTGTGTTCTAGGAGGCCAACATCTGGTAGATACACCTAGTGTGTGTTGTAGGATGTAGTGTTTCTGAGCAAGACTAAGCTGAGTCTAAGCGTGAAGTACTGTAGTGTAACTGCAGCGCTTTGGTTCTATAATCGAATCTCAGATTGGTAAGGTTACTCGCTGAATTTAAGCATATAATTAAGCGAAGGAAAAGAAAATAACTATGATTCCCTCAGTAAGGGCGACTGAAGCGGGAAGAGCTCATTCTGTGAATCTCTGCTTCATGCAGAGAGTTGTGGAGAGGTACGCTTGTCTTGGCCTTAGCTTAAATCTCTTGGAACAGGGTGCCTATGAGGGTGAGAGCCCCGTATAGCTTCTGGCCTTGGCTTTAACGTGTACTT